TAAGTCATAAAAAAGGATTACGATGATTGAAAGGCAGAACACTATTCAAGATACTGTTCATAATAATTACTTACATTTTTTATTTTTTATTTTTGGTACTGAGATTGAACTCAGGACCTTGTGCTTACCAGGCAGGCGGTGGCAACACTGAGCTAAATCCCAGGCCTTATTTTTTATTTTGGGGCAACAGGGTATTCCTATGTAGTTCAGCTGGCCTTGAACTCACTATGTAGCCCAGACTGGCTTCGAACTTGTAGCTGATCCTCCTGCCTTTATCTTCCAAGTACTGGGACTACAAGTGTGCACACCACACCCTACTGTAACTAGCTACATTAATGAGGATGTTTGACCTGCAATAATAGCAGATTCTCCAATACTTACTTCCTCTAAGACATAGGTCACAGCCCTCCCACATTAACCTTACTTACTTAATACAGTCTCCTTCAGAGCTCAAATTTACTAACCCCAGACCCTCAGCCTTAGGAATATATTTCCAGTGAAGGCAACTAGTGGCTGGGAGAATCCAACTGAAAACATTGTATCACTGACTTGGTATGTAATCTATGTCAGTTCTGAATAATAATTTGTTTTGTTTACTTAAATTACCAAAAATTCAAATACTAATTTCCCCTGGTTTGGGAAATATCACAAAAATGTAACTTAAAATTCTCTGTAAGTCACTGCCTTAAATAAAAAGTCTAGATATCTTCAATATGTGAATTAAATTTGTGAATTTAAAAAATAATATTTTATGGGCTGGGGATTGAGCTCAGTGGTTCTGCTGCCTGCCTCATAAGCGCAAGGTCCTGAGTTCGATTCCTGGAACCAAAAACAAACAAACAAAAAAATAATATTTTACCTGGCTCTGTATTTGTACTAGCATCTTGACTTCCTATGGCTTTCTTTTGTACAGAGGCCACGAAATGCAATCCGGCTGAAGTAGTAACATCATCTTGTAGCATTTCTTAAATATAACAAAACATTACAAGTAATCATTAGCAAGCCAACATGTTACTGGGAGCCCAGAAGCACAGTAACTGCAGAGAAGTAAAGGACCGGGTTAGGATGTTACCAAAGTGTTCTGCATGAGGTGGCTTATAAACTGAATCTCAATGAAAACCAAAATTATGGACTCCATTTAACCTACAAAGCTAGACATTCCCTTGGTTAATGAAAGTCCACTAGAAGTTGCTAAAGAGGGAGTGATATGGTCAGACTGCTGTTCTAGAAAAACCAAATAGCCCACTTCTGGAAAACAGATTTGAGTTGATGCAACTGAAGTAAGGCAATCAGTTAGGTTGGCTGCTGCAGTAGTTTAATAAGTTAAGAGGATAAATTCAGGAATTACAAACAAGTAAAAGAGACAAGAACTGGTTGTGGACTAGATGCGAAGGGGAAGGAGAAAGGTGGAATTCATAATAATGATTTTTTGGTTAGGGTAGTATGAACAATAATGGAGACAGAAACCATAGGAAAGAAACCTATTTGGGGCTGGGGGCAATGAATTTAGACTTCATATTCCGAACCCAAGGTAATTCTTACAACAGTGAAAAAGTTCGGTAGGAAGTACAATCCAAGTCCAAAGTATATTATGGCAGTTTGGGTTTACATTTGGATTTTCCTTGGAGATGATCAGAGAGATTAGGTAGGTAACAGAATATCATTACAAACTGTGGTATAACAAAAAACTTATTTGTTTTTAATCCTTAGTTTCAGGGAGAGTTTCTTAAACACTTAAAATTTGCTGAGTGAGAGGAATGTCTTTTGTTATTCATAACAAGCTTCTCTACATCATACCTGTGTTCACGCTAAGGAGGTGACCCTTGGCAGGTTCCTAGTTAGCTTCAGGATAGGGGCTGGGCACCAGGAGAACCAAACACTTGGTTAGAGGATTATAACTATCAGCCCCTTCCCCACCTAGCCTACCTACCACCTTTGAGGAGGGAAGAAGGGGCTGGAAATTAAGTTTAGTAACAATGACCAACAGTTCAATAAATCCTACCTATGTACTGAAAATTTAATAAAAATTCTGAAAAAGCTAAGGGGAGGGGTGGTCCCAGGTTGGTGGACACATGGACCTGCTCACCTAGAGAGGGGATGGGAACTTCCATATGGCTGTTTCTGAACTGTATCCTTTGAGGGGGGGGTACTGGGGATTGAACTCGGGTCCTTGTGCTTGCAAGGCAGGCCACCGAACCGCTGAGCTAAATCCCCGGCCCTGAACTGTATCCTTTATTTAAAAAAACACTGTGAATGTAAGCAAAACACTGTAAAGTCCAGTGAATTAATGAAAAGGGGTATGTGTGGAGGTGGGGGTGATTAGTGCTGTCAACCTTTGAATCCTTGAAACTATAGTTATTCAGACAGTAATGTGGGTACCCTGGGAACTCCGACTGTACCTTGCTCCTAAGTAAAGCACTCTTAGGGACTGAGCTTCTTCACCTGTGAGGTCTGTGCTAACTCCAAATAGTAAGTGTGAGAGCGGAGTTGTAGACCACTCAGCTGGTATCAGAGAATTGCTGTTTGGTATGAAACAGCAGACATCCACCAGATTAATATGTTTACTGTAATAATAGTATGTAAAAACAAGTAAACAAATGAAGTATATGTATTTGTAGGTATAAGTGTAGTGATATTTATAAAACAGCCTGAAAGAATAATAATACTGATTATCTTGAGATAGAAAGATTATGGTAAATTTTTAAATTATTCTGTTTTTTGGTACCAGGGATCCAACTCGGGACCTTACACTTGCAAGGCAGACAGTGTGTAAAATTTTTCTTGATCCTTGTTTGTGTTTTCTAACTTTTCTCCAATAAGCATGCATTACCTTAACAGAGTGAAAAGGAAAGTGGGTTTTTTGTTTATTTTGTTTTGGCCCGGTATCGAACTCAGGATCTTGCACTTGCAGGCAGGCACAGTGTCACTGAGCTACATCACTGGCCCAGAAAGTGGTTTGAAAATGAGAGTGTGTGTGTGGGAAGGAACTGTAGACAGATTAGAGAGTGAAAGACTGAAGCTAAGCAGGTCAGTGTCCTTGAGAGAGGAAAGAAGGACCCAGTTAAAGGCTAAGTGAATTCAGAGGGCTGAGATGAAAAACAAATCAAGGGTGGTTTTGAAGGTAAAAAATCTAGATCATACCGAATAGTTTCTCTGGTGTGAATAATCTGCAATAATACAGAAGATCCTAATAAGATTACTGACATTTACAAATGGGAAGAAAGGAGCTAAAGGTCTTGGGAAGGTGGGATGGGTATGGGAAGGATAATAAGGGAAAAGAAAAAAATGTGAGATAATGAAAAGATGGAAATAAAGTGTTTGTAGATGGGGAGGGGAGGAGGGGGTGAAGGGAGGGCAGGGACAAGGGGAAAAAATGAGAATCAAGACTTGTCATGTAGAGGTACAAGATCCCAACAATGAATGTAACTGTACTGTATCCCTAAAATGTACCAATAAACTCAATTAAAGCTGAAAAAAAGAAAAAATCTAGATCAATCAATAAAATGGTGATACCACTTTCAGGAGAGTGCTAATTTAAAAAGTGGACATATTAATTTAATGTAAAAGAAATAAAAGTGAATGACTATGTATATTTGTGTACTATAAAATATTCAAGAGCTGAAACTGTGAGCATGACTGTTCTGACAAGCACTGGAGTAAACTGGGTAGGTGTTGGGTACTGGGGAGTAATACTTAGGGAATATATAAATTCAAGGAGCAAGAAATAAACTGACTAGTTGAAAAAAAGATATAATTCACTATCTATAAATGATTCTTTTATTGTAATATGTATATATTTGCTGTGATTAATTGAATTCTAGTCATATTCTTTCATCATTTCCTTTTAAACCTCTTATATCTTACTTGAAATTGTAATTTATTGCACTGTTCTAATGCCTGGGTCAGTGAACATTTTCTTTTTTTTTTTCTTTTTATTGAGTTTATTGGTACAATTTAGGTATACAATACAGTTACACTCATTATTGGGATCCTGTACCTTTACATGACAGGTCTTGATTCTAATTTTATTCCCCTTGTCCCTGCCCTCCCTTCACCCCCTCCTCCCCTCCCCATTTACAAACACTTTATTTCCATTTTTTCAATTTCTCATATTTTTATCCTCTCCCTTATTACCTTTCCCCCACCCTTCCCACTTTCCCCACACCTTTAGCCCTTTACTTCCTATTTCACATTATTAATTATCTCATTAGGAATCACACCGGAGAAACTATTCGGTATTTCAGTTAACGAAATCTCTGTATGAACATCAAAAAAAGGGAATCCTAAAATAAAACTAAAAAGGAAAGTAAAAGAGAGAAGGCAATGATGTAAGATTAAAATAATCCTTAATTCTGAAGATGAAAATGGTCCCTTAACATATTTAAATTGCTTCTTGCTCTTATAGTCTTATTCTTTTTTTTTCATTATTTAGAGAATACTTTATTAGTTTCTGTAATCAAACCCACGCAGATATGACTTTACATATTTAATACAGTGTGTTACCCCTGTAAAAATGGAAAAAAAATTTAAAAAATTAACATTTCTAGACCAATATGGCTGTCCATTTCTGTACAATGCCAATTCAACACAGTAAATTGGGATAACTTTTTCCAAAGTTGAGAGCACCGTTAAAGTTCCCAAAAATTCAAGTTTTATATATATATGTATATATATATATATTTATATTTATATAAAAAGACCAGTAATAGCAGTATGTTATGCATCAATAGCAGCAACAGCTTTTCCTGCTGAACATTTTCTGTAAAGGGCCAGATGCTAAGTATGTTAGGGCCTTATGGTCTGTATTAGTCAGCTTTCCCCTGGGTGGAGAGGTTTAATTTGGCTCATGGTTTCAGTCCATGACTGGCTGGCTCCAAGGCAGAAACAACAAGGCAGAGGGGCACAGCAAAGCAAAGCTGCTCAGTTCAAATGGCAGAGCAGAGAAACAGCATCAGAAAGCAACAGCCAAGGTCACGCTTCCATGACCCACCTAAACACACCCAAAAGTATGTTTTACTAATCCCCTAAACCAAACAAATTGACATCTAAGCTAAACTGCCACATGGTCACTGCTGCAAGTACCCTACCATGCTGCATTGTGAAAGCAGTGATATACAAGGTATGACAAACATATGTCGGCAATGTTTCAACACAAATGGACTTACATGGATCGGCTGTAACTCAAGTTGGTCAATTGAAGGCTTAGGCTCCTCTCCACAGCCTTCAAAGTCTCTCTCTTGTATACAGGCAGATCTCAGTGTCCTTAGAGAGACACTGGCCCAAGATCTCTCAATTAACTCCACATAGGAAAGGATGTGGTAATGTTCCTTCCAGAACTCTTTAAGGGTTAAATCTGTACCTGAGATCTCACAAACAGCTGGCATTCAGGTCTTAATTCAAGACTTTGTAAATTAAAACAAAAACTCCAGTGATTATCCAAGTTGTGTGTATGTCAGGCCAGTTGTAGCTGAGAATCCACCGTACAGATCTGGCCTTTGGGCCATATTGGATAAAACATTAAAGCACACAAACATCTGTCATCTTGTCAAAGATAACATGAAAAAACTCACTGTCATTTTTATACTTATTTCTAGAATACTGATTTTAAGTCAAAACTTAAAACATTAGATTAATCATGCATATACTTACCAAAAGGAATGTTGAAATTATCCAAAGGCTGAGAATTGCGATGTTCTTGTACCTAAATGAATTTCCAAATATTCAATACTCCAAGGCATTTATTATTTTGGAAAAAAATATTCAATTACTATCAATATTGTTGGATTCGTAGATACAGGTTCAAGTCTTATCATTCTAGGCAAATTCACTTATGAAGTTATTTTGCTTTGTCAAAGTAATGTGAAATTCACAAGTCAAAAAATAAAAAAAAGAGCATTCCAATTCACTGCACAATTACTAAATTACTACATGTAATTCTCCACTGCAGAATAGCTTTGTTACTCAAATGTTCCCTCACCTTGTCAACATCTTTGATGGACTAAACATTTTAAGTGACTCCAGACATGTTCTTGAGGACTTTCAAAGGGTGCCGTTTAGGGCCAGGGATGTGGCTCAGTGGCACCACACGTGCCTGGCAAGCGCAAGGTCCTGAGTTTGATCTCCAGTACCGAGGTTAAAAAAAAGGGTGACTTTTAAAGATCCACATAGATGAAATTATATGTTTATTTACTCTATTATCAACCAAGTAAATAAACAGTCACCAAATTTAGAAGAAGCATTTAAAAACACCTGACTTTCAACTTACACATATCTGCGGCAATCCTAGAAGTATCCTAAAGATAGGTGACACTGTAAGGAAAGAAGCCTAAATTACACATTTTACATATATTAAGATATCAGAGAGAAAAAGGCAGGAGTGATTTTTAAATATTCACACAGATAGACACTCTAAGCTGTACTTTTTCAATTGCCACTGGAATGCTTTTCACAATCACAACTCTGTATGTGTGGTTCTGTGCAGGGAGGATGCAGGATCTGTACACTGAATTAATTACAACCTGGAGCTTCTGACAGTCAGACTGGACAAGTCATAAAGAAATATCAAACATTAGGGAAGAATTTATAGGAGCTGTGCTATATCTTGGGTTTTATGGTTTTATGACAATTTTTGAGTCAGCACTTTTTTTTTTTTTTTTTTTGGTACTGGGGATTGAACTCTGGACCTTGTGCTTGTGAGGCAGATGGCGGAGCCACTGAGCTAAATCCCAGGCCCTGAGTCAGCACTATTAATGAACAAGTCCTTTAGCCAGAAACTCACACTTGGTTTTCTCTGTGATTTCTCAGATCTTTTTTCTTGTAGCTCTTTCTCAGCTCGTCTTCTCTGCCTGTTAAAAAACAATAGTATAAAATATATTTCTATTCTTTGTATATTCATTTTTCTCATTTGTATCATTATATGAAAGCAATTATCAAAAGTATGCTAATTATTTCCAATAGGATTTAAATTAGATAATCTATAAAGGTGTAGGGGAAGGGGCCAGAGACTTAGCTCAGTGGTTCCACTGCCTGCCTTGCAAGTACAAGGACCCAAGTTCGATCCCTGGCACCAAAAAAAAAAGGTATAGGGGAAGTGGGAAAGGTAGGGGAAAGGAAAGAATAGGAAAAGAAGGAAAAGAAGGAAAGAAGGGAAAAGAATAGGAAAAAAATGGAAACAAAGTTTTTGTAAATAGGAAACAATAGTCTTTGTGGAGGGGGTGAAGGGAGGGCAGAGGTATGGGGCAAAAATGAGAACCAAGATCTGTAGTGTAAAGGTACAAGATCCCAATGATAAATGTAACTGTACTGTATGCTTAAAAAGTACCAATAAACTCAATGGAAAAAAATAAATTAGATACTCTAACAGGATACAAACAAATATAAACAAAAAGTCAAAGAAATGAAGCCAAGTGTGGTGGCACATGCCTGTAATCCAGCACTTGGGAGGCTGAGGCCAGAGGATTGCAAATCCTAGACCAGCCCAGGCTCCATAGCACACCATCTCAAAACAGACAGAGAGACAAAGAAAAAAGGATCAAAGCCATGAAATTTATTTCTAATTCTTCTATGGCTGAACTAACTATTCCATGTTGGTCACTGGAATCTCATGACAGGCATGTAAGGAATTTTCAAATTCTCTTTTCTGCAGATTTGAAGCTGGTACCCAAAATCCTATTACACACCTCCACTTTCTTATCTGAGACAGTTAAGCACACTTACTCACATCAGTGAAATCTTAACCAAGAGCAAAGTGGTGCCAAAAAGGTAAAGGAAAGAGAGAGGAAATACCTGAAAAGGATGGAAGGAAGTAACCATTTCTGGAAAGAATATGGGTAATAGATTGCATAGACTGATTAATATGAAAATATAAATATATTTTCTAGGGCTGGGGATTTAGCTCAGTAACACCGTAATTGCCTTGCAAGTGCAAGGTCTTGAGTTCAATACCTGGTACCAAAAATTTGTTTTTGTAGACTCAAAATAATCCACTAATTGGTATGTGTCTTGAACATCTATTATGGTTAAAACATTGTAATAAGTAGACATCAATAGAAGCTACAGACTCACTTTTTATATGCACATTGCCTAGTGCCCCAAAACAATTCATATCATCATCTACTCTGATTATTATAGAGTCTGGAAAATATAGCAAGATAAATAATAAGAAATGCTGGCTCAGTATTGGACAGTACATGGAAAATTGTATGATGCCAAATATTTGTGCTGCGAAAAATGCCTGCTTATACTACCACAGAAACATGAAAAAGAATCCTCTAGCCTATGAAAGATAGATAACAAAGAATCCTTTAATTAAAATATAAAAGTAGTATTTCTCACAATATAGGAATTTCCTTCATTCCTATACATTTTCAAATACATGGCACTCAACAAGGAAAAGTATGCAATTCTATATATAAGCTAGGAAGTTAAACCACATGACTTCCATCTTTATGACTATTACTGTAAATAATGACCATCTGATACATATATATTATCAAATAAAACTTCTTTTAGAACTTGCCTTTTTTTATTGTTCCTTCCTTGTCTTATTTCAGATGATTCCATTTTGACCTTGAGAAGCTGAAGGTGACCAGAATCACCTTGTTCAAATAAATTATGTGTTAATATTTGCTGTCTTTGTTTAAATGCAATGAGATTTTCAAGTGGAATAAGCTGTAGTTTCTTGTACTATAGGAAAAAAGCGAAGCATAAGATTAAAAATTTACAAACTCAAATATCCATAATATTAAAAATTTGAGAAAAGTATGTTGAAATTAAACTCAGAACAAATCAAATATAACAAGTGAATTTGGACTGATGTAATAAGTATACCTATCGTAAAGAACTAAATATTTTAGACTGGTGAAAATTTCAACTAAGCGATTTCTGCTTGGTCTTGTTTGTTTTGGATCCTGGGAACTGAACCTAAATGGCCTTGCAAAAGGTAGGTAAGCTCTTTACCACTGAGCAACTCCAACAGCCCTCAACTGGATCACCTTGTTTCAGAAATCAAGCTAGAAGTCCTTATCTGCTAAATTTCATTTCAATATTTAAAAAAACTTCCTTCTCACAATTACAGACAAATCCATAAAATTATATAATGTTTATGATTTAGTTATGTGAAATGGAGAAAGCAGTGGCATGAAGGCTATAGATGCAATACGTGGATAACCCCAAAGTAAGGTGATGAGAACCTGGTGGGGGGTTCATTATACTATTCTCCCTAATAAAGTTTTTAAAAATAATTATTCTTGAAGCCCAGAATTGGCAAAGCAAATCTGGGCAACAAGAGCGAGGCAAGGAGTGTTACAATCCCCAGAAGTTATACTACAAAGCTACCACAATAAAAACAGAATGGTACTAGGAAAAAAACCAAACCTGATGATCAATGGAAAACAATAGAAGATACAGAAACAACTCAGCTACCTTATCTTTGACAAGGGGCCAAACACCTTCACTGGAAGATAGTGATAATAAATGGTGCTGGAAAAACTGGTTTTCCACATACCAAAAATTGAAGCCAGACCCATATCTCTCACCATGAACTAAACTAAAAATGAAATGGATCAAAGATCTAAATATAAAAATAGAAACAATCTGCTGGAAGACAGAATAGGTAAAACTCTTGAAGACCTAGGTATAGGCATACACTTTATGAACAAACCCCAATTACACAGGAAATACAAAGAATCAACAGGGCTGGGGATTTAGCTCAGTGGTTTTGCCACCTGCTTTGCAAGTGCAAGGTCCAAAGTTCAAACCCTGGTACTAAAAAATAAAACAAAACAAAAAAAGAATTGACAATGGGACGAGGATATTGTCATATTAAAAGCTTTTGTACAGCAAAAGAAACCACTAACAGAATAAACAGACAACTCACCAGGGATTTAGCTCAGTGGCACCGCGTCTGCCTTGTAAGAGCAAAGTCCTGAGTTTGATCCCTGGTACAAAAAAAAGACCCCCAAATTCAAAGACCCACCCTAAAAAAGGTCATCCTGAAATGAACAGATACTTCTCAAAGAAGTACAAACAGCAAAAAAAACATGAAAAACTGATCAACATCCCTGGTCACTCAAGAAATGCAAATTAACACAACGCTGACATTCCATCTCAGTACCAAAATAGTTATCACCAGGAAATCAACCAGTAACAAATGCTGGTGAGGCCGTGGGGAAAAGGAATCCTTCTCCATTGTTGGAGTGTAAACTGGTACAACCACTATGGAAATCAATAATGAAGATTCCTCAAAAAACTGAAACAAAAGATTTCCAGATATTCCCCTTCTAGGCATCTTCACAAAAGGGTTAACAGCATCATATCACAGTGATATATGCATATCTATGTTTAAAGGAACAAAGGTCATATCCCCATCAACAGAGAAATGGATAAAGAAAATGTGGTATTTATATACAATGGAGTACTATACTACTCTGCCTAAAGGATAAACCTGAGTCATTTGTAGGTAAACGAATGCACCTTGAGAACACAATTTTGAGCGAGTTAACAAGACACACAAATTTAAATATTGCATTTTGTTTGTCTTCTGTGAGAAACCCTGTGAGAAGGTAAACAAGAAGCAAAATGGAGGTTAGATACATTGGGAAGAACATGTTCAAATGGGAAGGAGAACAATTGAGAGGGGAAAGGGAAGGGAAGGAAGGGAAGAGGAAAAAGAAAAACAGAAAATAGAAGGGAAGAAATGGAAACAAATCTCCATAAAGCGGGAGGGAAAAAGGCTGAAGGGAGGGGAGGGGAATGGGAAAAAACAAAAATTAAGATATAACAGGTACAGGGCCGGGGATTTAGCTCAGTGGTTCTGCCACTTGTTGTGCAAGTGCAAGGTCCCAAGTTCAATCCCAGGTACCAAAAAAAAAAAAAGATATAATGGGTACAAACTCCTTATAATAAATATAAGCGTTATGTATAGCAAATATATACTAATAAAAAGTTTTAAAATAAAAATAATTCCTCTAAAAACGCAGACTTTAACCCCTCCTCAAAATAAGTCCAGAAGTAAAGGCATGGTCAATACTTTTTCTAAGGAATAACCATTTTTCTTCCCAGTAGCATCTTCAGTTTTTTTTTTTTTTTTTTTTTTTTTTTTTTTTTTTTTTTTTTTTGATGTGTGCGTGTGCCCATGTTGCGACAGAGTCCTTTTTCCCCTAACCTTCTGCTTGCAAGGAAGGCACAGCACCATTGAGCTAAATACCCGGCTGAGCATCTTCAAATTTTAAAGTTCATTGGAGAATGAACAATCAATTGCCTCCCTAAAAATGGCCCTACTCATCTACAAAATTAGAACATATACAGTTTGAATTTTGTGATTCAAAGGTAATATATTTAAAGAGCATTGTTGGGTTTATAAAGTTACTATTTTATTGCATGCACAACTGCTGACAGTCTGTGTCTATTTAACAACTTAAATCTGAAACAGATCTGAAGACAATTACATTACAATTGCTAGGAACCTCAATATGTGTACTCATTCACTCTGTGTGTACACACACACACACACACACACACATTCTGTGTACACACACACGAACAGCACCTGTTAATTGTATTTTACTTATTTCTTTTCTGAGCAGAATCTCTAAGAAAGTTGATGTGCGCGCTTTGGCAGCATATATTCTAAGAAAGAGTTGAGTAAATACTTGCATTAGATCTAAAGACCTATCACCAAAAATCTTTAAAAAACAAAATTATTTGGGCCAGGGATTTAGATCAGTGGTGCTGCTGCCTGACTCACAAGTGGAAGGTCCCAAGATTGATCCCTAGTACCAACAAAACAAAACACCAAAAAACTTTAAACTTGAACTCTTATGTTAAAAAATACAAATATTTTTAAAGAAAGAAATGTGCAGCTAGAGCTTTCACTGAACATATAGTGTTTATGCTATGAAAAGTGCAGGACTCTGGTTTTAAATCACTGCCCCAAAATTCATTACCGTATTTTCTGAGGTTAGATGTGGAAAAACTAATAGCTGTGGGTATTTTTTCTCTTCTGCTGCAGTTCTCACAGGTATTGAGGGAACTGTAACTGATGCTCTTGAGACTGATGAAAATATGTAAGGATGTTTAAATTGCAAGTGCAATAATGGAAGTCCACAGGAATTTTGAGGAGGTAACTTATTGAGCCCTGGCTTAACACCAAATTGATTTTCTGGCTTTAAAAATATTGAAGAGGCCTGTTGAGGAGTCACGTGTTCTTGTTCAACATATTGATTGACATTCATGTGCTTAGGGACATCTGTAATCACAGTTTCTGTCGATTTCTTCTGGTCAGCTGCTTCTTTCATGACTTCGGTATTGCAGTGGCTTGAATTCAAATGGGATCCTGAGATAGCGTGTACTACTCTCTGTTGTGGAGGAGGCTGGAGGGAACCAGTTAATGCCCAAGCTTCTCTCGGTTGGGCCAGAGGCCTGAAGGGAACATTTGGAACCCTTCCTACATACAAAGGAAGGGGCTTGAATTCAGGTTTAGATAGAAACTGAAGCAAAGGAAAACCATAACCAGGACTAAGTGTTTTGGCAGGTGGGATAAGTCTAGGCGTCTTCTGGGCAGCAGAAGGGGTGGACAAAAGGTGAGGATGACTGTGTCCAGCAGGAGCTGGAGAAAGCAAAGCAGATGCTAAGCTTTCAGATGCTGGGCTCAGTCCTCTCTTCTGGGGTTGGCTGTCTAATTGACATGAAGGAATACTCCCACATGGAACATTCTGGAAAAGTAAAAAAAGATTAAGTAAGTTTAGGATATATTATAAATTCCTTTTTTGGGAAGTGCTGTTTTGTATGTTTTGAAGGAGATGGAATTGCTAAAATATTTATTTAGTCAACAAGAAATCAACAATTCAACCAACTACCACGAAGTGAATGGTATTTTTATAAGTATTACCTGTATATTTCCATTGCTATTTTGATCAGATTGAGTAATTCCTTCATGGCTATGTGGGCTGTTCTTGGCAGGCAACCTGGCGCCTTCTCCCACGGACTGTGGTTTAGTTAAAAATCTCTTCTTAGGATTTCTACTACTGTTGTTGATTTCAACATCACCACTCCCTCTTGTGGGGTTTGTTACTTGGCTTCCCCCCAGATACACAGACTGAGCCTGTTGGAGAAGGTGGTGTGTGTCTGAGAGGTTAGCAAAGGATGGTCCTACAATTTGCATTAGGCTCAAGAAGTTTATCTGCTGCAGCTGAAATAAAATAAAATTAAAGAGATATCATAAAAACACAATGAAAATAATCTAAGGAACCAACAATTACCATTTGAATATTCTACAGAAGTCACAACTTTCTCTTAGACCTAGGAATACTGAGCAGGAAGCAGAGACAGAAGGTATTAAAACAAAAAAGCAGAGCTTCCTGCCATCTGGGAACATGAACTTATGAATGACACTTGAGACTAGGTAGAAACCAGTTCAAATAAACAACCCAAGGAGCCAGACCTTGTGTTACACACTTGTAACTGGAGCTACTGGGAGGGTAAGGCAGGAGGATCACAAGTTCAAGGCCAATAACGGCAACATAGTAAGACCTCGACTCAAATTTTAAAATTTTAAAAAGGAATGGAAATGTAGCTCAGTGGCAGAGCACTTGCCTAGCACTGGGAGGGCCTGTGTTCAATTCCCAGGACCAAAAATAAATAAACAGATATCCCACAGTTCATAAAGCAGTGGGATCTGATGGGCTAGGGTGAGGGTCACCAAAGGAGGATTCTAAGAATAGGTTAAATAAGTTTTCAGGAAAGAAAAGAGAAGAGAGTACTATACAGTTAAGGAGTGATGAATTCCCTGGAAAGGACTGATTAGGTGAAAGGCAATGAATGGTTCCCAATCTTTGCTGCACATAGAATCACTTGAGTGGCATTAAAGAGTCCCAATGGCTAAAAGCAGCAAGTAAATATATGAAAAAATGTTCCACATCACTGGTCATTCGAGAGATGCAGATGAAAACAACACTGAGATTCCACCTCACTCCACAAAGAATGGCTGCTATCAAGAAATCAAAGAATAACAAATGTTAGTGGGGTTGTGGGGAGAAAGGAACCCTTCTCCATTCTTGGTGGGAGTGCAGACTGGTGCAACCACTGTGGAAATCAATATGGAGATACCTCAAAGAGCTTGGACTGGAGGTTCCATTTGACCTAGCCATCCCTCTGCTGGGTATCGTTCCAAAAGAAGTAGAAGAATCATATCACAGTGATATATGCACACCCATGTTTATAGTGGCACAGTTTGTAATAGCTAAAACTTGGAAACAGCCCATTTGCCCTTCCGTTGGAAACTGGATAAAGAAGATGTGGTTTTTCCATAAAATGGAATATCACTCAGCCGTAAAGAACGAAAAAATAGATTCATTTGTAGGAAAATGGATACATATTGAAGATATACTCCTAAGTGAAATAAATAAGCCACACGTGTAAATACCGAATAGTTTCTCTGGTGTGAATAAACTGTAATAATACATAAGATCCTAATAAGATTACTTACATTGTGAAATGGGAAGAAAGGGGCTAAAGGTGTAAGGAAGGTTAGGATGGGTAGGGGAAGGGTAATAAAGGAAAAGAAAAAAATGTGAGATAATGAAAAGATGGAAATAAAGTGTTTGTAGAGAGGGAGGGGAGAAGGGGTAAAGGGAGGGCAGGGACAAGGGGGAAAAAATGAGAACCAAGACCTGTCATGCAGAGGTACAGGACCCCAACAATGAATGTAACTGTACTGTATACCTAAAATATACCAATAAACTCAATTAAAGCTGGAATTAAAAAAAAAAAAAAGAAACTTTGAATGTTTTCAGCAGCAGCCCACCATGCCCTACCGCCAACACAAACACACTCTTCTGAGCAGCTGTGTCAGAAAGTGCAGAGAAATGCAGATGATTTAATTATGATCTGTCCATTTCTACAAGTTCAATAATTTAATTTTTTTGGTACTGGGGATTGAACTCAGGACCTTGCGCTTACAAGGCAGGTGGCAGAACCACTGAGCTAAATCCCTGGCCCCAAGTTAGTTAATTTTAAATGCTACATGTATCATGTGTAGAAATACTTAAGAGATGTGCTCACCTGAACTAATTTAAACACTTCATCTTGGAGCATCTGCCTAACAGAATCTGAAGAATCTGGTAATGGAGCTCCATGTTCATTTCTGTGGGTCTTCCGAGGTGTTGGAACAGGTGTTTGTGAAGTAACACTGACTCCATTTGATACCAGAGGAGGAACCGAGGAAGACTTATCTTTAGATGCAGAAATCTGTTCACTGTGTAGAAGCATTTAAATAAAAAACACATTCTAATCAACAACAGCAACAAAACAATTGGATGTCTATAATACAAATATTTAGATCCCATTGTTTCTTCAAAATTAAAGATTATTCTAGCAGTTTTCAGAATTTCTCCTGCACACACTATCTTCCACCTCAATGCCTTTACTGGGGCCATGGACTGTCACTCAGCAGTGGCCCTTGCTACAATTTTATGTTCCTGAGTAGCCCAGCCTGGTCCCCCAGGTGTCCGAGGGTGATACCTGCACAATCATTCTAACTTTACAGACTTTGTAATTGGGCTCAGAATAAGTTTTTGATGAAAATTAATGATTCACAATACTGTTAAAAAAACTGAAAAAAAGCTGGTTTAAAAATTGTTTAATTCTAGGATTGGTAGAGCAAAAACTGCTGATTGTCAGTAAGTAGCAGACAACAGTATTGTGAACATTCATATCCAGACAATTGACAAGTTTCCATTTAAAGTAAGCCCTAAAAATGCTTATTTAGAAATAAAAATTAAAGTAAGTTTTGTTTTTGGTTTTTAAACAAAATTATTGCTAGTCAGCAATTCCTTAAACACAACAGGTGGTCAATGTTTTATAAGCAAATACATTTTGTAAACTAAGGGACCAGGCAATTATCATATTCAAATAAATTATTCATTGTTTCCAAAGAGAAAATTTCA